TAGATTGACATCCTCATGGGCGCGGTCACAATTCAAAGACCATTTAGTATACTCTATGGTATTAAGGTATTTTTGGAACCGGAATTTTATAGCAAATTCACTGAACTCGAATAAATAGATGATATATATTTGACTCACCCTGTGTATCTATAAAAATATTTTTGAAATGTGAACTACCATTAAACATATATTTTGTAAAAGGTTTGGAGTGAAAATCTCAAATAGGAATCCTGAGCTTTTCCGGAATACGGAGCCGTCTTGTATGTGTGCATTTGTATATGTGTGTTTATTTAAATACTAACGTGAAAGCAACGAATTTAAATGGGTAAACTTTGTAATATATCTTATTAACAATACAATACAAAAAGTTTTATAAAAATTCGTTCACAGTAAATGAATTCCGAGGTTTGTATCTAATAAAGGCTTACAGGACTCCACTAATTGTCATTATTTATTTTGATTAACACAACGTTTTGGTCAGACAGATCACTAACCGTTATCAAATGTAAACTAAACTAATTCCTAAAACTACTGAGCTTTTATACTGCGGTCACCCGTGAAAAAAATAGGTGCAGTTAACCGTGAGGTTGTCCACATAGAATGGAGCGGTTTATCAGTGGTTGCCATATCCTGGGTATTTCGGTACTATAGGATTGCTATAAATGTTATTATTGCTTGCTATAAAAACGCCATTTTTAAATTTACGCTTTTTCCAATAAGGTTCCCTGTGGACAACCCAACCTTCCGACTACTTTATATTGCGTTGTTTTGACCAAACATGATCAGTAATACCTGACTTTATTGTGTCATCTTTTTTTACATGTTTTGTTGTGTTCGCTAAGTCGTACATTTAGAGGACGTTTAGTTTCTCCAATATAAGACTCACCGCATTCACAAGGAATCTGGTAGATGCACTCTTTCTCTTATTTTAATGATTCCGGCCTTGTTGTGTTAGGACGCTTCTTAGAGTCGATCCAGATTTGAAGACAGTTTTAATGTTATACTTTTTGGCTATTTGCCTGATCTTCTCTGACGTTCCTTTTAAATATGGAATAGTTAAGACAGAGAGAGCATCCTCCTCAGGTCGATGAACCAATGAGTCATTTTTACAAGTTGATATAATTTTGTCTATGGACTTCTCAGAGTAACCATTCTGAAGCAAATCCGTTTTAATATTATTTAATTCAAAAATAAGTGATGCTTGGTCACGGCATATGGTGTTTGCTCGATGAACTAAAGTGTAATTATTCCTTTCTTAGTTGCTTCAGAATAGTTTGACAGAAAACTTAAATATTGTCCCATAGATTTCTGTATACAGGAGTCTTAATAGATCTCTCATTTCTACTAACAAGGACATCTAGAAAGGGCAAATAGAGGTCCTTCTTTCTCTAAATCGTAAATTTTATGGAATTATTTTGTGAGTTGAGATGATTGAGAAAGTCTGTTGGTTCCGTTCCATATTATGAAAGTATCTTCAAGTCACCAAAAATATAATAATAATCTAATATATTTATAACAAACGTGAGTGAAAAAATCCTACTCCCTATTTCACCCTCTAGAAGGTCTGGAATAAACCACTAGAAAATGTCCAAAAACATTACTAAGTAGACTTTTCTTTATGCCTTCAGAGCATAAAAGCGATTTCGATAAAGAGGAACTTTTTTCTTATTAAGTGTATGTAAACATGACAAAATGAGAAATTCTCATAAACAATAAGTTACGCGGAACATGTATACGCTCACAGAACCAAATAAAAATGTAAAACGTCGAAATGCCTCGGGGACAAGATGGATCTTTTCTCCTATATGAGATTTTTCACGCAGTTACGCGTACGTCAGTCAAAAGGAACGGCTTTCTCCCTTCATTCTTTTCTCCTGCTTCTCCCTTCTCTGCCACCACCCAGCCCTTTTCAAACAATTCCCACATTCCATAATACAAGACGACGTCTTCCTTTGTGTTTCAGACTGTGACGAGTATTCTCTAGATTGACTTACGTCCTGAAGGCGCACTGAACGGATATGAAAAAATTCCAAAAGTGTACAGAGGATCGATGATATTTTCCATTGAAAAAGTGACTGAGCGAAAAGTCAAATACTATTTTACATTGATACTTTGGAAACAGAAGCTAAGTCATTCTAGTCATTTTAAAAGAAGTTTTTTGTGAGTTTTGTTTTTTAAATTTCTTTTCATAAATTTAAATTTTTGCGAGTTTATTTTTTTATTATTCTTTTTTATTTTTTTTACTTAACATTATTTCTTGTTTACTTTATAACTGGTTTTTATACAAAGTATATAAATCCATACAAAAAACCCATGTACTAGAACTTAAATTACAGTAATATTCATATGAATTAGAGATGTGAGATTTTAAAAATACGTTACTTTATTTTATATACAGGGTCCGGCAATAGTGCGCCGGCTCTTAGCTCTAGCTCCTAGAATAAATAATTTGAGAATTTTGTTTACGTGCAAAACTAAAATATATACGAAGATGTATTTCAGAAATATATTTTAACTTCTAAAATCTGTGAGTGGATCGGGATGATTTTTTATTAATTGAGCAACCTGTATATTATTGCATTTTTGGCTTCCTTTCAGATCACTTTACATAATCCCCCATTCGAGGTAAGCTTATTGTATGTTTTTCTGTGGTAATTATAAGTATTAAAGTAGTAAGTTTTGCGCTATTTTAGTGTTTTTGTAACAGGAGTTAAGGTCTGCCATGATTTTCTGAGACAGGCCTAATTTGCTGCACATAAATATATTTGATTTGAACTTCTTTCTTTCTGACTCTGGTCCCCGCGTGTTCTCTAGCGATATTTTGCTGACTATACTGCTGGAGAAAATGCAGTGTTGCTAGGGAAAATGCAGAGTTGTTTGAGTCCCAACTCCTGCGCTTGGTGCTAGGACAGCAATATCAATATTTCACAGCATATACCTACACAATTTTCAATATTTAGATAAGTATACTTATATAAACGAGATAGATAATATAAAAAATAAACCTATAAAGTTGACAATATTGGATATGATTTTACAATTTTTCTTAATCCTAATTAACAGTTAACTAGTGGAAATAAAAAATTCTAACAAGCTTGTTAGTTAATATTATCAGTTAATATGGAACCTTACAGCTGTAAGGTTCCATATTTTTTAATAAATAGGTAATTTTTTAACTTAATTTTTTACACATTTGAAATGTTAAGGGTAGTCTATTATAAAGCTTTTTAACACATATACAAAGGACTTTTTTCAGTAATCACAAGTTTATGAGCGGGATAGTTTAGTAAATTCTTTCTAGTGTTGTATTGATGTATTGTTACTCTCAAAACATTCGCGTACAGGTATACTAGGCATTCATAAATATATAATGCATATAATGTCATAATTTTTTCATTCTTAAAGATCCCTCTACACGATTCGTTGAATTTCATTTTTTTACAGTGCGTACCTATTACCCTTTTTTATGTTACAAACAGTCGTTGTATTTGAATGTTGCTGTCCCAAATAATTGCAAGCCGAATAATAATCCCATAGCAGATGATTGACTGAAAATTAGAATAGTATAGCGTTTTTAGGATTCTCTCATCCATATATTTGCTTATTAACCTAATTGCATAGCTCAGTGAACCTAGATATTTTAAAATATATTCTATGTGATTTTTCAATCTAAATGCTCATCACTTATTATTCTTAAGAATTATGTGTGGTTAGATATTAATATATATCTTTTGTATCAGAATTTAAAATTAAATTATTTTCATTAAACCATCTAGTTACATTATCTAATAATATTTTACATTGGTCAATGCAGGTTGTTATTTATTTCCAATTAACACATTGGTATCATCAGCATAAGTAATTATGTTTTGGTTTTCTTCATTTATTGCCAGATTTAAATTATTTAGGAATAATAAAAATAAAACTAGACCCAATATGCTATCGGAGATTTATATACTTTGCCTTCATTAGTAATAAAAACTTGTTGTTTTCTGAAGAGCAATTCTCGATTAATGCCAATAGGTAACATATCATTTTCATCTTATACAACCATTTCCAATTATGGTGAAGCCTCCCTCACACATATAGATTCTCTCTTTGTAGTTGGGCCCATAGTTTGTGGCTGTATTTGTTCGGGAGGTCCATTTCTTCTTAACCCCAGCCTCGCCGGTGTCTTGGCCAACGGTGAAGCCTGAGAAGTGTAGAGATATTAGCCCCATCTCATGCTTTTGCTGCTTAGGACAAATTTGCACAAAGAGATTATTGAATAGATAAGTTTAGTTTTATTGTCCTAAGTTACCAACAACATATTCTAGATTCCGTCTTAACAATATTGTACAGACTTTACGTATAATCGATATTATATTATGTTATTTTATTATTTAAAAGTATGATCTAGATTTTAATTTTCCTTACGCACGTTACCCTCTGTAATGGTATTACTTTAAAAATATATACTATGTGCTTTGACTTAATACAGTGCGCCTAGACATAAATTCTAGAATTTATCTCTAGTTTCGTCTAAACTTTAACATCGTATTAAAATAAACAATTAAATAAAGTAATGCTACCCTATTTTTATTTTTTAGAGAAAGAGGTCGACGAACAAAATCGTCGTAAAGGCCGAAACACTTTCCTGAAAAGATGGATATTTTCTCCTATATGCGATTTTTCACGCAGTTATGCGTACGTCACTCAAATAGAACGGCATCACCCTACAGCGCTTTGTTCACCTTTTCCAGTCCCCAAACAATTCCGCCACTCTTTAATATAAATTGAGATTCACCTTTAAACTTCAGAAGCAGAAGGGTATATTGCAGAATGACTTACGTCACGTACAGAACCCATATGAGAAAAATTGTATATTTCTTATTGACAGCGGCTAAATAACTCAATAGTTTTTCCCTAGGTCCATTACGTGAAGCTTATTTAGCACCAAGCTAGTCCAGCCTAGTCGCGTCCAGTTACAATCGCTAAGTTGCGCAATAGCAGCTGTAACTATGGCAAAATCTAAAACAGAGCTGGAAGACAAAACTCAGCACGTTATGAAATTGATAATGTGGAAATTGCCCGAAATGGAGATGCAAGTGACGATAAAAACCGAATTGGTATTACTATCTGATAGAAAAAAGGTACCTACAATACAGATAATGATTGACATTATATACAGAGTCAACAAGCAATCAAGTACCTAGGAATGTATTTAGACAAAGACGTACGAATGACATCGCATACTAAAAGAATCTGTGAAAAGGCAAATACGGCCATTAATAAGTTAAGTAGACTCAAGCGAAATATCGGAGGTCTAAGAGCAACAAAGCGAAGGGTACAAACAACAGCTGTACTTTCTTTAATGTTGTACGCGGCACCAGGTTGGAAATCGGGATTGAAGTTTAAATCCTATAGGGATTTATTAGAACGACTTAACCGTAGAATGGCAATATGCATCATATCGGCCTACAGAACCGCTTCAAGAGAAGCAGTCAGAGCTCTTGCAGGAATGGCTCCAATAAAACTGCTGGTGAAAGAACGGGACCTCATAATCAAAGGGGAAAAGGTTATGACTTACGCACAGTGGCAAACAAGATGGAATGAATACCAAGGGTGGACTAAGACTTTTATCAAAGACATTATAAAATTGTGCGAAAGAAATCATTGTGAAAAAACTCAAAACTGGGTGATATGATTTTTATACATCACAAGCTATGACTGGTCATGGGGTCTTTGGCTCATACCTGCAAAGAATAAAAAAACAGCAGAATGCATATTGTTGGTTTTGTGCAGAAGAGGTGGATACCCCAGAACACACTTTGTTTTTATGTCAAAAGTTTGAAGCTTACAGGGTACAAACGTACAACGAAATTGGACATCAAATTACGAAAGATAATGTAGCAGAACTCCTCCTAAGAGGCGAGAACGAGTGGAAAAGTGTCATCAGACTAATGACAAATATAATGAGGGAAAAGATAGAAGAGGAAAAATATAGACTTTGTCAATAAAGGATACTTTGTGAGGTTGAAGTAATGCTTAGGGCAGTACCAACCGCACTTGAGAGGGAAAAGAGGGGAAAGGGTTTTAGTCGGTCGCTACAAGCAAACCCGACACAACCCCCGCCGCTAGACCAACAGGCGGGAACAGTTTGCCAGCAGATTGCCTAAACTCGTGTATAATAAAAAAGTTACGTCCAGTCATATCATACAAACCCCTCTATTTTGTACCAAACCCCCGTTCAGTCTAATCGCAACAACTATTCTTCGATACTGCTTTAATTTTCAGGATATACAAAAGCTTTGAAGGAAATTTATAAACACGAATCATTTAGGTACTTTTTTATATAATATGTCGAGTTATAGTGTTATGAGTGTTTTTATCAATTTATTCCTAACATATTACAGTAAAAGTCAGTCATATCATTTACCAGATGATTAAAACCTCAGTTTTAATCATCTGTAAATGATGCTGAACTACTGTATAACGCGTTTTAATAAAAACAAAACGGCAAACAAGAGAAAGGTGTGCATCTACCAAGTACCCTGTGAATGCGGTGAGTGGTATATTGGAGACACAAACTCCTCTACATGTATGATAACGAGCATAAAAAATATTGAGAAAGAGGTAAACCAATAAAGCAAGACCACACATGGTTTGTAATACCAGTGTGGTATTGCAGAGCATGTGTAGTACTAGCAACATAACATAAAGTGGTCGAAATCCGGGTTGTTCACAGGGAAGTTTTTTAATCATCTGCTGATTACGCTAACATGTTTAGCAAAACTCGCGTCCAGTGCGAAAAGTAAAGTGTTATGGTGCATTGTGGTGAATTAGTGTTTTATATTGGAATAAACTATTAAAAGTAGGCATACGAACTAATAAAGGTAAAATATAAGTAAGAACGAACAACATTCTCCAAATACACAAAAAACTATAAAAGACACTTATCTTCTAAAAAACCTTTCAAAACAATACATAATAAAACCACTTTACTCTAAATGTATAATACAGGACATAAACAAAACATTTTCACCTTTTGATTTTGAAAAAGGAAAAACAACACACAACATCTGTTTTTTGTATTCTTTTCTATATTCCATTAAGCTTTGGAGAAGTAGCTTTATAAGGTCCCTAGATTGAAACAACACATTAGTCGGAAAAAAAGAAAAAAGTATGACATATGCCCGAAGCGGCAAAAAGGGACAAATACAACGACCTAAAAAAAGGTCTGACTCGGGTGACGAAAAATAATATAAATACCTGAAATTCGTTCTGTGGTAATTACTTCTCCATTCTCTTCATTCGGTTAAGAAAAGAAGCAAATCAACAAAATCCGTAAAAATAAATCAACTAGAAAACAAAAAAAAATAGATTTGGAATTCTTATTACTCTCACTCGCATGTTCTAAATTAAAATTATATTCAAGTTATAAATTAAAATTAAATAGTGTCATATAAAAATGATTCCAAAAATTATTAACCCTCAATAGCTACAATGAATAATTTTTCGTTAATCGCCACAGAGTGGTCTGGTAGACACCTCTTATTACATTGCATAATTTAATAGAAAATAAAATATTTTTGTATCTCTCTATACTTTTTATACTTTTATGAGTTTACATGTGTTAGATAAAAAATATATACATAACAAAAACAATTATGTATCGGCAATCAATCGTTATTTACTAAATTGTGTAGTAAACATAAAAAAGTAATATTTTGACATATTTTTGTTCTTCGCGGTATTTAAAGGTTTAAACATATCTTTCCTTTGCACTGTAGACAAATGCGTTTTTGAAAAACTGTAGAGATATACTAGGATTTTCTTTTTATTTTATAAGGGCACCTAGAGCAAAAACTTCTCCTTTCTATTCACTCCTCTTCAGCATTTTTTTAACTTCAATACATTTTTTTTACTTTCAATATTCGCGCCTTGTAGCATTTTCATTTTCCAAATGCTACTTTGTTTTATTATAGACGGTATTTTAGTATTGTATCGATATTCTTTACATTTCTACAACACATAAAGTTCGGAACGCTCTCTATCGAAAATATTGGATCGTACCCTGGTGTATCGACAAGACGGGAAACGTCAAAATCGTCACCTCGGATTTGGCCGTTGCCGAGGTCACTGTGCCATTTTGAGAATTAAATTTATTTGGCCGGTTTTTTTCACAATATGGGAAAAATATTGTGATTTTGTTATCCTATAGATGGTTGAAGGTCCCATATAGATTTTGATTGTTGAGATTTTAATGGATCTATAGTTTTGGTAGGATTTTCTTTGACATTCCTTTCGTTAGAAAAACTCTTCACATGCCTTTCTTTTAGATTCTAGTTTTTTTGGTGAGAAGTGTCCAGCCCTTATTTGAGAGGAAATGTTAAATTATTGATTGTGTGCCTTCACAATGAGGTAAATTAATACCTTCGTAAATTTTTCGAGTTTTTTAAAATGTAAGGTTAACTAATACCGTGCATTTCTTTTTAGGTTTTTCTACGGATTTTTCTCAGCACTTTTCCACGTATTTGTCTTCAAGTATTTCTAGACATTTTTCTAGACGTTTTTCTGCATGTTGTTCTTCATATTTTTCTAGAAGTTTGTGCCAAGTTTTTCCACAAGTTTTTCTTCGAGTTTTTCAATCACCGAGGTAATCAGTAGCAGCCTATTCGGTTAGATTTCAGCCCTGCACCCCTCTGAGGAAGAGTTGGATGCTGTGATGTTTTTTATCATTAGGAAGATCCTTTTTTAGTATAATTTGGTAGACAAGGCCAGTATATTTTTTATATAGTAAACTAAATTTTTATTAATTTGATTTTAAATAATCATTAGTGTGTTAAGAAATTAACTATTCTTAACATTTTACATTTAACCGGTTAAGTACTTGCCTTCAGCATTACTTTAACCCCTAATTTATAAAATTTAACATTTTGTGTCATTTTTTTAACACTTTAAGTATTTGCCTTCACCATTGCTTATATTTTATTTGTATTTGATTATTAAAATAATCATGTTATATTGATTGATTATTCAGATTTAACATCTATTTATGTTAACCTTTTATAACATTACGATCTTTGACCTGTAAGGGCAATCTTGGATACCGCTTTTAAACTTTTTCCCTTAACTATATATAAACAAAAAAGGTTCATGAATCTTCGTAATAAGTCAATTAAAATTTAGATATTTAATATTCGAATAAAACCAAGACCGTCTCTAAAAGTATTCTTTTTATATTATAATTGTTTGAATAATATCTGAAAAGACATAATTTGATTTCAAACAAGTTTTAAGATACAGTTTCTTAAATATAATTCTTGTATATTAATGTATATAACTGCTGTGCCGAATAGGTACCGAATAATTTCTAACAAGAAATAAATCTTATTTTTTGGGTATTGGAATTGTTTCATTGGTTGATCCAGTTTCTCAAAATATTTAATAGCTATACTAATTTTAGTTTCCATTCAATTAATACACTTGTACAAATATTCTTATTTCAGTTTGTACTATCCTTTGTAAAGTATCAGCATCATTTTGAAATAACTGGCGCCCTTTGGTATGCAGTGTAAGATATAGGTGGGTATCATATTTTTAGTAGTAGTGGGAACTATCGAATGAATACTATCGAAACATTCGATAGTTGCAATTCATTCGAATAATTCGATAGTTAGTAAGAAAACATTCGTTGAAAACTATTCGAATAAAAATTATCGAATAGATCCGTCATCTGCCTTGAAATATTGTATTCTAGTAATTCGGCAGTAAAAACCATTCATTTATAAAATTCATTCATTTATGAAATTCATTCATTTGTCAGGATCGATTATAATAAAATATTAACTGAATTTTAGTTGTCGCCCGGCGACGTAGGTTTCTTTCCGAGAAACCCGACAGCGGTCGGTGGCAATGCTATGAAAGAAGCCGGCATCTTTGATTTTTGCGGAGTCAGATATAGATAAGGACACATTATTTTTTTATTGAGGTGCTAGTATTTACACAGAAAATACATTATGAAAGGCGCTGTTGCCATATTTTGTTATTAGTTGATATTAGCAAAGAATATTATTGTTTGGCTTTAGTTAATAAGGGAATATATAGACATACTATATATTCTGCATTTTTTATTAATATTCTGTTGTTACACTCCAATAATACTTGTTATTTTGGATGTAGGAAAATTATTTTAATGTTTTTTTTTAGCAAAGACTGGTTTAATAAATAATAATAACAGTAATAATTTGTTATACCTATTAACAACAAAATTTAAAATCATTTAATATAAATATTTTCTTTTAAGTAGTAGCAAAATATAAACAACAAATTAGATGTCAAAATTATTTATATCAGATCCTATTTAAAAATAATAGAGTCTCTAAATTTTTTGGCAACGTTGGTTTATTAAATAATAATAATTACAGAACTAATTTGTTATATTAACAACAAATTTTAAAATCATGAAATATAAACATTTATTAATTTTCTAAGCATGCAGTGTAATGGAAGGAAAATATAAATAAAAAATTAGAAATCAAAATTATTTATATTAGGTGCTTTATATTACTATTTAAAAATTATATTTACTTTTACTGGCATTTACTTTAAAAAATAAATGAAATATTTTTTCTTCGCAAAAAACTACATGTAAGAGAATTAGCATAAACAAAATATAAACATCGTTAACTTTTTTTTTAAATT